GTAACCCGATTATTCTCGTGCGGATCTCGGCAGCCTTGGGAGATTGCAGGCTGCATACCAGTTTCAGACATTCGAATTGATTTCAACTCTAATTTGTGGCACTCTCGCTTCAGTGTTGCGCATGGACAATGAAACTGTCGCTGTCCTTCTTGCACAGTTTCAGGCAAGTGTACCGATAGTTGAAATGAGATGCTTGATCACCGACAATCTCCGTAAGTTCGGGAATTGTTTTATCGGAGCTTAAATCCTGAGCATTCTTTGCCAAAATGTAATTGATGCGTCTGTCGTGCCCCATTGCTCCGAGTTTACGTTGCAGCAGCCGTACTTTTTGCGCATCATCAAGATTTGCCAACTCCGTCTTGAAAAGATCTTTGTAACTTCTGAACCATGTGTGGAAAATTAGCCCTGAAGCGTTATCTAACACATTATCATTGACACTTTATTATTACATCAACCGACGGCTTCTCAGCATTTTGAACTGCTGTAGACTGGATCGGTACTGTTCGAGTTAGTGTCTCGATCATTCGCAGCTGTGCTGCCCCGAATTGCTGCTGTTGTTGAAGCAAAATGGCTTTCAGATCTACTGCTGAGATTGACATCTTGGTTAACTCTGCCTGCCGTTTTTTTCCGCTGACAGTACTGATGACATATACAGCCGCTCGGGTCACGATACAGCCACTTCCCAAATCAGAAGAAAGAGGCCTGTAGCAAAAATTGTATGGCGCATCTGGAAGACGGTATGCACAGTCAAAATATGGGTTCAAAATAACTAGTTCTTGAGAGAGTAACCTAAATAAAAGTTCCTGACTATAGCAACCAGTAGATGCGCAAAAACTCGCTTGTTGCCTGTTCAAGTAGTGCGCTTACTGGACGGCTTCAAGACAAGTCCTTCTCATTGGTCAACTTCAAGGTAACCGATGCAGTTGACTTACTCTCATTGGCTAGCCAATCAGCTACAGGCGGTGTACGATTAGTCTTCTCTGGCCTGCTTGAGAGAGAGAGCTGGCTTCGAGTGTTGCTAAGGCCGGGCTCCCGTAACTATGTTGACCATCACTACTTTGATCCAGCCCCTTGAGTGGTCAACTTCATTATCATTATCTACTATACACATTAGCTAGAGGTGGAAAACACCTCAGCTGTTGTGCCGATTGAGCTATTGGTAACGGATGGACATCGTTCCGGAGAGGCAACAGTCGCCTGCTGTGCTACCAAAAAGTTTCATTATGCCTTGTGCTTGGAGAGGGAGGCTAAGTGGGAGGGGGAAGGACAAAGGTCACAACACAAACGCCACTGCGGTCGGCTCCTTGTACCAGCCAAACGTGTTCTTCCTTTTTCGGACCCCAACCAGGGCGCCAAGTGGCTCTAACCCAGACCAACTTCGAAGTAAGAGCCTTCATTCCTCTTGACCAACTTATCGCTTGGCCCCCTCCTGTTCTTCCATTCACACCCCTGGCACACAAACGACGCACGTCGCTGGAGTCGGTGGACTGGCATGCGTGATACGTGACCGAGCCATCGGAGCCTGGTGCGTAAAATAACGGTTCTGAGCAGTTCACTTCTTCCTGCGCCATAACTAGGGCGTCGAATACGCTCATTGCTCACACGGTGTTTCCACCGGATATGAGCTAAACTGCGAAGGCACCGGTGGTTGAAAGTAACTGCTCTTTGTGTCGACTGTTCCAAGGGGCCAGGTCTCCCAACTATAGTTTAGGAGCGAACGTACCGCCTGCCACTCTTTTAGGAGAGCTTAGTATTTCGACGGTGCAAAACAACGCGAAAGGCTGACAGCCGATGGTAATCTGTCTAATGCTGTTTGGCACTTTCGTGAGCCGTTGCAGATAAGGGCAATGTCGTCAGCATACTCTAAATCAATAATCGTTAAACTGGGAACAGTCCCACACCTTCTAACTCGTGGCGTAAGCCCTCACTCTGCTCGGGCTTGACTCGTAAGTCGCTGGGATAATATATACATAATATTCGGGCACACCTTTTTATAGTAGACAATCCCAATGGGCACGTCGATCCACTGTATAGAAGACACCTTTGATGTCGAGGAACATGACAATGGTGGGCCGCCAATACATATGATGGGGCTCCAATAATTGACGCAAAGTGAAGATGTGACCGATACATCCTAGATGTCGACGAACTCCGGCTTGCTGCTCCCGAATCTGGCTTTCACGAGTGCTAGTCAGTCTGTGCATGAAGACAAGGGCAAGTAATCTGATGGCGAGGGGGATCAGACTTATTCCGCATTCTGAACGAGAGCCTCCCTTGAAGCTCGGACCAATAACCGAGCGGCTCCAGTTGGTTGGGATATCTTCTAGCTCCCAGCGTTTCACTAGTAATTCGTGTGAATCTTCAACAAGTGCAGGACCCACGAATTTGAAGCGGGCTGGAGGAAGATAATCTTGTCCGCGGCTTTACTCAACTTCAGCAGTCCGATCTTACCTTCGACTTTTTAGCGAGAGTGCAGGTCTAAAGGGACAGCCCATGTAGCAGGGCGATCACCGGCAGATGAGGGATCTAACAATTCCAGTTGGTCGAATTGCTTTTCGAACTGCTCAGCTCAGCACTCCGAACGTTCTGACAAGTTGTGAATAGGCTGTCCACTCTCGTCACGTATAGTTTCACTAACACCAGGTCTCCCGTTGCCCGTTTCCCATATTAGGCGGAACAAATTCCGATGGTTACCAAAGACAGCGGCCACTTCCATCTCTGACGCACGATGAGATCACCACGCTTCATGTTAGAAGGTAGTTTTTCCCTGATATCTTTGCGAGTCTCGTTGTGCTCGCTTCCAGCCGGAATATGCCGACGAGCATCGGTAAGTTCCAGAGACTGCGAAGAGACCGAATGTCTATTTTGCCTAGTGAATTTTCTACATGATGATTTACCTGTTTCAAGTAACGTTTGGTGAACTTGCGATCAGTGACCTTCGACTGTATTCATTAAGCGCTTACCTAACCCGAATACCTGCATACTTCGATACGCCTTCGGACGCCCGGCTTCGGCAGTTGCCTGGTATCTAAGCGTTCACAGCGTCGTCGAGGGCATCCGTCAAAACGCGCCTGCAGATCAGCACATAAAAGTGAATGGTCAGTTTCCACACCCGTGGTCCAAATCGAGCGAGAGTTTTGGACCCACCCTCTCCAGGGATAACTGATGGCGGTGTGATCGATTTACGTACATGGCTTGTCTGAGGCTGGTGGACGCCATATCACCTTCCGGTGGGTGCTATGTCAGAAGGTATTTCTGACAAGAAATAAGCGAGTATCTTCGCACAAATGAAGCGGTCGCTCACCGTTATCATTACCGGAACCAACACCATTTTGGCTGCCAAGATGGACCTCATCAGTGGACAATTTCCCAACTTAATCGTTCAGATCTCCAGTCAACACTACAGTGTCCGTGCTTTTTCTGTAGCGACAGAGCTCCTTCAGCTGACAATGGAAGTCGTCTTTCACGGAATCATCGCTACGGTTTGTGGGGGCGTAGGCAGCGAAAATAAACAGCGATCCATTAGTCCTGCTCGACTTCGAAGCTTTGAACGAACCAGATAGTCGGACCGCACACATCCGGCAACTGATTGAGATCCAATCAATCAGAGCAGTTTTAGCCCGGGGACTCATGCACTACCGACACCAGCTTGATCGGTACTCTAAGGTGCATCGTCGCCGGAGAGGCGCAATTCGAAAGCACTGCTAGTGTCACCTGAAGCGGATCGTAGAGCGAGCACAGAGCTCGAGTCGTGCAGGCAGTTTTCCGATAGACAGCAGATATTGATGGAGAGGGTCTCTAATGTTCCGGCAAGCTCTGCATGTTGATCGATCTGTATTAATATGCGTACCTTGAGGCATACTAATCTGAGGAGGGATCAGGGCTCCAAATAGAAACCGATGAACTGGATTTGACCGCTTGGTTAGACATGAACTTTTCGATAGCGCGGGAGTGATGCTCCTCGTTTCCATGTGAGCTGAAACTAGAAGATAAACGCCTATCAAAACGTAATTGGAGAGGGCCAAGAATTGGGGGATTGGAAACGGGGGTAAAAGTGAAGTTGTAACGGGACGATACGGATGAAAAGCTTAATAGTGGGAATAAGAAGACGGGAAGGCTTGCGCAGTAGCATCCAGACCCCTATCCACTCTGCTCGATGCTGTAAATTGGATACCAGTTAATTACTCTCTGCGACGACCGGTGCGTCAAGAAATCGTTTGAGGACAGGTTCATAGTATTGCATTGCGGGATGCTGTTAGGTTGCGCAGGGTTTCATAGGAGAACGGTTAGGGTTCTCAACCAAAGGCTTTACCTCAAAAACCTGACCGCACAGCAGCGGGTTTGTCTGTGGACTACAAAGAGTCCATTTTATGGTCCGGGTGATTGTGTTTGTCTGGCCCCTAATCATTGGCAAAACCCGAATATCATCGACAAATCTGTTATGAGTTGCTCTGAAGCTGCAAAATGCACCTCCCAGCATAGGTCTATTGATCGCTGTGGTATGCAAACCATCGCACCCCAGTGAGATGCAGCTACATTGCACTGGAGTGGTCAACTTACGGATTTCTTATTGCATTTTGTTTTCCTTTTTATTATTAAATCCTGCTTGACGAGTTGTTGTCCTAATCCGCACCTAAGTTTTAGTTTGCGAATGCTTCGATACATTTCCGAGCTTTTTTCCCACATGATGTAATTGGATATTGTTTTTGCTTTACTCATGCATACAACCCCTCCGCAAGCGCATTTGTGAATGCCAACGCGATAACATGTAGTATATTTTATTCTATTCTGATCGCTACTTTACTCATAACCTTTAGCATTCTAATTTTTCTTATATATTTTGGTCATCGGTTTCTTGGCATGCAGGACACATTTGTGTCCAAATCAAACTTTCTTGTCGCACCTATTATCTGCCGCCGATTTTGACTTTTGTCTGCTTACTTGCTATATCGAGTAACTCGCAACAACCAACATCTATACGCATCCCTCATTTTTCTCAGGTTTTACTCTCTACAACGAAATCACCTATCCTTTTGCAGCACAACTTGTGCTGTTTGACGCGGACCACATACAGCTACTGAGATATCAACTAAATTCCCTTTGCTCGCTTTGGAAGAGTGAGGATTCCGGACTACCATACAACATGGCTTGGTATTCTCCGAAGGTCCGATTGTTCGACTTCGATTCCTCTGCACAGTAAGTTATTTTACTGTTAACTGTTTTTACCAATTTCTCTTCTTTTCTTTGCGCGCAATTTCTACCAATTTTCTTCACCCTAATCACGTATTTACGTTTCTATTGGAATCTTTACATATCCGACTACAGTTCTACTACCCATGTTTTTTTTACGATGGTATGCTATGAATTCTATGCCTACACCTTTTCAAGGTATTGGGAACAAACTAGCCGATTCTACAGCGATGTCAGCAAGTTCTCGAATATCTCTTGCTCCTACAATTGGTTACTTTCTCTTTTTCTCATCGGTTTCATTAATGTGTGTGAATTCCGAGCTTATCTACCTTGGTACTCAACATTCGTTATGTAGTTGGGGCTTACGTTAGACACCTCCAACTCACTTGTCTTACCCTAGCGTTGTGTAACGTGTATTGACACCTTCGCTGTGTACAACCACTCAGTCACATCCTTGAGGTCACTGGAAAGTTTCGTCAAACTGCACCAGATTGCCCTCCTGTTTATCATCGCAACCGAATGTATCTTGGACACCTTTAGCTGATTTCATCTCATTGATCATTCCCTTTCCCGATTGTTCCGTTCCGTGTCCTATCCTACATTTTAGCACTACTGCTGACCCTTACCCGGTCCATTCTCATTCTTATTTTAGCCATCCGATCTCCATTAATCCTCATGCAATTTCGCTACTTGTGACAGCAATGCAACATCCCATAGACACAACTCGCTCCTCCACACAATTGAGACCATACCTTCCCACTTCTGATTACGATGTGGATAAGGCATACTTTATTCCATCTGCGGGAGACACACAGTACACGCCAATTCATCCATCTGCGTCTAATGCCGAGTCTGCGGAATTGTTATTATCCGAACAGGAATTGGCCGCACTGGATGAGACACAGCAGAAAGCCGTATCGCTTCCGACTCGGCTGTTCAACCCTCCTCGACCAAACCCCAACGATGTGTTTTATTTCAAGGTTAGCATATTTTGCTTTTAAATTTAGGTATTTGTGATCATTAAGTGCAATGCTCCTGGCCGCGCCCTGGTGTTTTTCACTTTTTTGATAGATGAATCAACGCCGTTCGTTTGGCAAATGACTTCACCCAAATACCAGGTGGACTTATCATCCTTAGTGCTGCATTGTTGTTAAGTACCGGCGTTTCGCCTCCTCACCAATATACTAAGCGCAGTGATTTGGAATAAGACATTGGGAGAAACTGAAACTGTCCTACATTTGAAATGCCGCAAGCAAACTTTCGAACTCCTGGTGCCTACCTCTTACCAACAACATATGGTCATAAACAACTAGCTGTCGTTTGAATATCAGGCGGGATCAGTTAGACTGCTTGGTGCGGCCGTCACAACCCTGTGTCATAATCGATCCTACAAATACCTCACCTCGTTCCCGGTTAAAAAAGCGATCGGGCTTTGAAGGCATTGATTCCTCGGAAAGATCGTGTAGTGTTTCTGCTGACGTACGGATAACCGATACAGCTACTCATGTCACGTTGCAGCTATTTTCCAACATCAGAAGACCAAGGCCTTTACTGGAACTTGTATAGACCAATTGGAAAACGGAATGTACAGCCAAATATGGTATCAAAAGGAATAGTTCATGATAGAGTGAACCAATTGAAAGTTCCTGAGTGCTAGCAGCTACTAGATGCTCGAAACTCGCTTGTCTGATGTTCAAGTAGTGGTGGTCTTCAACGCATCTCATTCTCATTGGTCCACCTCAAGGTAAAACGATACTATTGGCTAACTACTTAGCTTCAGGAGGCGCGGAGCTAATCTGCTCCTGGGCACTAGCTAAAGTGCTGGCTTCGAGGACTGCTATTGTCATTCACCCTTAACAGACTGACCCATATGAATAAGTGGTAACTTTGATTCTACCTCTAATCGTGACATCACAATGAATCCATTCAAATGAGCATACTAATTTCACCTTTGGAATACAGACATGCCACTCACTGCTTCTGCTTTAGAAGTCTATTTTTATTGGCGTTCAATTATGCGCGAGGTGTTGCTGATAGGTGAGAGACGAGCACGTTCTTTGGATTCCATCCAAACCCGCTCTTCACACTGTATCTTGGTAAGCATGCAAATCATGCTTATAATCCTACGATTGTTTATACGACTGACTGTCGCACAATGGTAAAAGTATTAGGCAAGAGATATCCTAAAATCCCTACTGCCCATACTGTTTGTATCAAAAAAGTGAATAGGTTAAGAGTTTTTCGTCACTTTGCTTGTTCCAAGGGAGTCAAACAAATTGTTGCAACATAGACGCTTTCCTACACACCTCCGTCGCAAGAAGGCTGGGCCTTAACGTGGTATGATGATTTGCCTACCTCTTCGACCCATTATTACTATATTGAGTGGGCGCTCGGGCCCTTTGTTATCTGTTATCCGCTCGGTCAGGGGTTAGAGGTCATACGAACTCAATCTCCTGGGCCTTAAGAACAGGCTTTGGAAGAGATAACATCACTCTCGGTGCAACCGGATGGTCGCCATCATCTCACTGCCTTGCGGGTAAGCTTTTAAGCCGTTTTGATGTCTAGGTTTGGGCACCCTGGCGATATCTTGGCTGCATCCATCCTATCAATTAAAGTAACGTGACGCACCCAGCAGGCCCCACTTACTGACCTTCGAATCAAAACAAGTTCCTGTCCAACTAACAACGAGGAATTAAAACCGCTTGGTTTTTATCGCGTACCGTACGTCTGGCTATTGTTGCCTTGACATCTATCTCATACGTCAAGTAATAAAGACCCCAACTGGGTGCTTTTTCTCTCCACATCTGCCTATTGTGATTCGCTCATCTAGCTCTCTCATCTGTCTCCAAGTTACCATGTCCCCAACAAGGCCTAGTATTATTCGACATGCGAAAGACAGTTTCTTACACCACCTGATGAAGCCTAACAGAAGATGCGAATCACAAATAATCAAAAGCCTACTCTACTCCCAATGCTGGTATTAACACAGTACTCACTGATAAGATCAGCTCCATAGCATCCCTACTCGCCGATATGAGAAAATGACGAACACTTCTAGACCACTTAAAGACCGCTTGGCATCGGTAGAATACCTCAGTAACCCACAAGGTAAGCCCGATCCAGTTCAAATGGGAAAGCGGGACAATTAACCACGTCTATCACATCAGAAGTGTATGATGGATTAATTGACTGAGAAATGCGATTGCTTTTAATATTCCAGACAGAATTAGTTGGGGTCAAATACTGAGGGCCTACAACGTGACTGAGGTCAATTGCAAATGCCTGTGATCGTAAAAGAAAACGTCAAAGAACTGCTGCCCGATCATTTTCAGTCGTAAGTGCATCATCTGCGAACGGGTTCCTGCATAGTCTACTCTTCATAGTCCAACGCACCGAGTTCAAGGACCTGCTGATTAAGCCCATACAAAATTCCATCGGAGTTTTTCCACTATCTGCGTCGGAAGAAAAGCCCAGATATATAACGAACGCTCAGAAGAAATCGAAAAATTAGGCCCACCTAGTATAGTAACTAGGCTCGTCGAAGCGGATCTCGGCAGTTCATATCATTTGGCGGAGACCTCGTGCTCCATTGTCCCTGAAAACACTAGATCAGTAGTGGTACAGCTGAATAAAGAAGATTCCCCTAGATGGGCCACTTGATTTGGAATCATTGAACCATACTAGCTAGGATAAGCCCTAAGCATTAAAGAAAATGATTGTCGAGGTCCCGATAGTAGTGTCACTAACAAAGATCAACGTCCAGAGGACTCCAAGGGCAGGCAACCAAGGGTTGTAGATAGCCTACTACCATCTACCGGAGCTGGCGTCAACAGAATCCATAAAACTGAGAAACCCAACATTAACTCATGAGTCTTATAAATCACCTTCATACAACCACAATACTAGGCGAAATGCTGAAGCGATTAAAACCAAAAGCAAATATCTACTGGATGCTCCTAGACATCTTCCCATACCACGCTGTAGTCATTGGCAGAGCAGTGGTAATAGTAGGAATTTTGTCAAGAGGGTAACACCACTTCCTACTCCATCTCATACATATGCATTCACTCACGCCACACACGAAATTCCTTTTTTAGTGGATTTTAGTATGGAACCGCTGCCATTCTCATTTCCTGCATACCCGACAGAATCTAACTAAATGTTCTCGTTAGTTATGCGATTTCTTCAGTTGACCCAATTAGCTCAGTTCCAAGTCACCCGCAGTGTAGACTTAGCACCTCAACTCCCTTTTCTCCCAGTTCACGGATTGCACACTATCTCTAGCCACACTGTTACAAGTAATAGACTCGTACCCGCTGCTCCCATACAAATCTACCACGTCAGTAGTGCGCGATTACAGTGACTCACACAACAGTGACGCGGTAAACACAGAACTCCTCATTCATAGTCTGTTTTCAGTATTTTTGAATAACACCAGATCCGTTAGCAACAAGCTGTATTTCTTAGGCATGCTTGCACAATTCAACGAGCTGCAAGCATTTTTCCTTACTCGACTATGGTGCTCCCCGACATATTTGATTCTACACTGATGATCCCCAATAATCACCTTTTTCTTAAAGGTTGCGGTGAAAGAAAAGACGGATGCATGAAATGCCTACATCACACATTTACAGCTGAACATTTACAGCTTCAACATCCACAACTAGTAGATGTCCCTGAATCTCTGGTTATACGTCTCAGGCGCGTAATCACCGCTAAATTAGACGAGTCTTGTTTTACTTGCCGGATGTTACATGGCGCAAGGCTCGAGGTAGCCACACGTTGAGTTTGCATAAGAAATGAGATCGCAGATTACTAAATTGAGTGCTGTTGGTCTGTCTCACCTACCAGATCGGAGTCCACTGGACCCACTTTGTGCTTCACCTGAGGCTTTACAGGACATGACTCGCAGTCTGCACCCTTGGCGCGCTTGTCGTCGTCTCGTAGTTTAACTGTCTGTTTAAAGTGTGTTTTGTGCAGTTATCTGCGGGTGGATGATTATGACGCGGAGCAGTAAAAGTCACAAGGAAGCTATCCTGCCGATGCCGCCCTGTGTTTATACCGTAAACTGCTGCTTGGGACTCTTCGCTATTGACAAGATGTAGGCACCTTGGCGCTGAATGTTTGCTTAGGACATTTAAGTTTCAAACTAGTTGCCCCTTCTTTTCGTCATTCCATTTGTCATTGTGGCTGTACGGCAGCGAAGCATCAGTTCAAATGATTGGTGTGTTGTTATTGTCCGTCTGCTGCTTATCATGAACCTTCTTGCAATAGTCGGGTTCCTGTTGTGATAAGGCAGCTAGGACCTGTCCTATGTGGGCAAAAACAAACAACTGTTGATCTTCGTTTGTCATGGTCCTAAGACCACCGCGACCGTTTGCCTCACTCTATTTGATTAGTTTTGCAACACCGCTTGAACGGTATATAAATAATGTATCATTGTATTGGTACTGATGCGACTACGAAATTTAAAAATACTTCAACCCGCCGGAATTACCGTCTAATTGTTGGCTATCGATCATCCTGCTCCCTAAGCCGTTTCTTCCGTTCCATCCTTTTGCACATAAATTGAACGTGAGATCGGATTGTTTGAGTTAGATAAGGCTACTTAACCAGGTAGACTTGCCCCAACCCTCTTCAAACCCAAGTAACCTACTCTGGTAGATGATTCACACGATATATTAGTGAAACTGTAGGAGCGCGAAACTGTCCCGAGGAGTTTCGGCTGCTCTGTCTTTGCCCCTATTTCAAGGTGAGATCACACTCGTAATGGCGCAGGAATCAGCCTTATCTCAGTTACTTATAAGTTACTTGTCTCTGTCATCCTTCCTAGACTAAATGGAAACAGGAAAATCCATCTTCGTAAAGAGCAAACTAGATTTCATCGTCATTTGTTAGAATCGCCATATATATTGGCTTAGTTGTGTTCCTCGACATCAAAGGTACCTACTATTCGGTGGTTCGATAGGCTTTTTGGGACTGTTTGATTATAAAAGCTATACACAAGAAATAGGTGAACAACATTGTAGCTCTTGCCGCGCGTAGTTTGGCTTACGCAGATTGTCGCGGCCTTTCAAAATATCGAGCTGCGTTAGACAGTGATACCCGGTGTCATCTCTTTAATTTCCTTATCTTTGAAGATGTGGAGATACTTTCAGGTGATAGGCTTCTTGACTTGAAGTACGCCACCGACATTATTCAAATCTGTGACAGCTCACAAACGTGCCAAGCATTACCGGTCAGATAAACACTGGCTGTCAGTCGTTTCAGACTGCTTTTCATCTTTAGGATGCAATTATCCCCACACATGATTAACAGACAACGCTCCCCTGCGCTGACCCTTGATGGGAATTAGCTAGAATTCGTTCAAGTTAATTACCTGGACAACTGTATTAGCGTTCGTGGATTAAAAAGATGTAGTCGCGGACCGTTTAGCCAAACCCGGAGGCACTTTTGCCAATATCCGCCACCTGTGACGCCGGCCCAACCTCAGTCTTGCTCCGACGTATAGCGTTTACAGCACTGTCCTTCAGTTCACATGTACTCTATGTCTAAGAACGCTTTGGTTTTTCGCCGACTGTACGGAAAACATGCTGCTATTATGCAATTTGGAGCGGCCGACTTTCCAGGCCAGAAGACCAAGACCTTCGGCAGATTTTTTATTGTGCACCGGATAACACAGCATAATCAGGCAAAAGATGGTGTCAAATAAATAATTCATGGACGAATGACGTAGCTGAAAGTTCCTGGGTTCTAACAACTGCTAGATGCTTATATAGGCAATTGCCGAAGGAGTGTGCTCACTGGAGGACTTCAAGGTTGGTCATTCTCATTGGTGAACTTCAAGGTAGGACGCTCATTGGCTAGCGAATTTTTTTCTGGCTGCATCGGGCAAAGTTCTGCGGACTGCTAGGGAAGGGGCCGGCTCCGAACGCTGCTATGGGAGGGACCCCTTAACATCTTTCTCTCGATGATTGGCAAACGACATACTTCGATTCAGATGCATTCTGACGATGGATCTCCGTACCTGATCAGTCCAGCGTCGTGGTTGCATGTTCGGCTGTTCTGAAACTTTTGCGTGGTGCTCCGGAGGTGTTCTGCATATTCGATAGCATATCGATATTGTGCAGAATGATATCTAGCCTTAGCAATCGATTGTTTTTCTTTGTTGAGATGCCATTGTGTCGCAGCCGAGCGGCATGTCAGGTCCAAACCAAAGTACGCACCCCGACCTCTTATAATACCCGATCAAATCTCCCTGGATCGATCCCTTTGCACACCTGGTTTCCAAAGGTATTTGTTTGACCAAAACACGTTGTCTTAGGTGAAATTGACGTGCTTGATTTTTGTGTCGCTGCTTATAGTACTTCTCCAGTTGAGAGCTCCTTTTTTCGGGATAGTACGCTTCGGAAGCAGCAAGGAATTTATGTTACGGAGCATTCTTCCCATGAGTGCTTCTGCTGGCGACAACTGATTTACTAATTGAAGGTTTGAGCTTGGCTTGTACACTTGCAGGACAGCGTCTAGTATCTCTTGTATAGTTTTTCCCCATTTATCTCCAGTAGCGGTCACTTAAGCTTATCGACGACGCGCTCTGCTTGTCCGTTTGACTGGGATGAAACGGCGTCGAGCATGGATGTGTGATTCCGTTCTGTACCCAATACTCGGCAAACTAGGAAGATATTAACCGAGAGCCGTTGTCGGAGACTAGGATTTCAAGTAATCCGTGCTGTTTCAAAACTTTTCTCAGAACTTTGGCACACCACTTGTCGCACGCTTCATGCAGAACGCCTCAACTTACTTTCTGAAAGAGTCAACAATGAAACCTGGCACATGAGATCGACAGATACAGAGAGGTTAGTTTCATTCGACCGTCGATGCCTTCGCAGCTTAGCTCATATTTGGTGGCATCATGGCGTGAAGAATATGCGACCTATTGCTTGCACTTCTCACGTCGAACTTGGCGTCGATTGATGCCTCCCGACTCCCGCATTATGATCCAAAACATGATGAACTTGTTTAGTTACGACACTTGTTGACATTGTGAATGTTTCATGGATTTCTTTCCCCCTCTCGCCTGACTTCTTATACCTATAAGATCTGAATCTCGGTTCATACTTAAAATCGGGCGTAGTATTCTTTGTACTTCTTTGTTTTCTCCTAATTGAACTGTATTTCGGCACAGTAGGAGAGTTGTTTCTCACATGCAGCTACCTTGCATTGATAGTAATGGCTTGAAGCACCTTTTTGTGAAAAGTGCTTTGCCCTGTCACTCCTGGCTGCTCGTCATTCAATCTGTGCTATTTTTCTAAATTCGTTTTAATCGACATCTTCAATTAATACGGTTTTGCTCATAGAGGGGACGGTGACGAGGATAGAGGTGCAGTTTCCGAACTGCGCGGATCTGAGTTTCCGGACACCACATTCCTCCTGGTATTTGCATGTGTCATGGTTTGTGCCGTAACTGGTATTCACCCTCCACTTGATTTCGTTCCCCCTACATCCAGCGGAGAACATATACCACATGCCAGTCCCTGCCAGAAGTGGAATGTAACTTTATCCAAACGTCTTGGCCCTTTCCTTAGCTTAATAGCGTATGATGCACATGCGCAAAGTTATAGTGACGGCGATATTCACAGTTTATTTTTCTCCACCCGTCCCTGCTTTTGCATCGGTCATCAGTGGTGGCTCGATTGCTATAAGCTCTGTGCGGTTTACCTCTACATATTAACGGCGCTTGCAGGTGTTTTTACCCGACGCAGACGGCACACAAATTCGGGAACCCAGACGTCAACCCTCGTGACGTTTTCACTCCATTCTTTGTAGTGTTTCGTGTCGTTTCTTTAGAACATTTCAGTACATCTGGACCTGGCAATTCCAGTGCACTTTGTTCATCACTTTAGTCTACTCACTATTTCTCGAACATTTGTGAAGTCGCTTGTATCCTTGGGTTTATTCAGCACATTGAGTGCATCGATCAGATTTCTCCTTTCGACCAATGACCAGTTGGTTATTGGAAACACTGTAAAATGGAACACTTACCGGTAACTGTATTTGGCAAGACTTGCATTCTACGTGGGTCGTTCAAGAAAGTTTTTCTCTGATGAACTTTCCCTGCACCAGAAATAGGTCTTCCTAACATGGGTACCACTCAGATTTACACAAGTCTGATATACTCATGAACCTCACTTAATTTACACAAGTCTGCCATCTTTTTCTGCAATTGAGTAGACCACGTTTGTTGCAGTCCTCTCTCGAGTATTTAATAAATCATAGTCGCTAGCGTTGGCTAGGCCATGTCCTCCGTATGCCTGTTGATCGGCTCCCTCGGCGTGCATTATACACTCTAACTGCACCAAGTTGGGCGAAATCGCGAGGTGGCCAGTCCATGAGGTGGCATCGAGGCATGAAGCATTTGACTGAGAGACTTGCTCAGACTGAATGGACGCCTCGGGATGGTCCACACCAAGGCTTGGAGACCGTGTCAGACATGACGGAGTGACGGATTCAGTGGCGTTCCTGCACACGGCTTCTTTCATTTGGTTGTTAATTTTCGTTCCATTCTGATTAGTCTGCCGCATTTCCTTCGTGCTTTAAATTTCACTACATTCCATTTGTACCCAACCCCACTATCGTATCGTTATTATTTATTGTTATTCTTACGTTGTGAGTCGTAGCAACTGGATCCACCACACTTCGGTGCTCGGATCATAGTTGATCAACTGAACTGAACTGTAACAATCCTCATATTAGGCCAAAATCAATGACCCGATCTTAGAAAGCTATTGTGTTTTCAAATGTTCACTTTTCACCAAGCGTAAGCACGTTACCTTTGATCCACTTATAATTTTCATAAGGTGATTTATTTTTGGTGTGGTATAGCCATACGTTTTCACTTTAAGCACACAATTCTATCACGTTGTTGACTCATCGAACATATTTCTACCTTCAAACTCCTGCTTTTGTACTTATCACTCTCTCCTGAATCTTGACACAGGTATAACCTCTTTTTCCTCTTTTTCAGCCCACAGACCGTTCGAAGTTGAACGCCGAATTCAAGGAAGAAATGCCTAGTTTCGGTGGAGAATTCGGTGAATTGCCTGGACGTTTCAATATACTTGCTCAAAAATATCGGATTGAGAAACGCAACCGTGGAGCTCGCTCGCATGTCCAGGCTCCGCCTCGTCGTTGGCGCTGAGCTAACAAGATTATTTGGGCTCATTCACAGTCCTATTATCCTTCCATTCTTTACTGCTTTTCGAGTGAACCAATTTGTATAAAGCAATCTTCCTTCAACTGCATTGCTGTTGTTCCTCCTGAGCTGTTGGGAAGAGAATTAATCTACGAAGCTAGTTATCTACTAGACATCGTCATTATGTACGCTAGCTACATGTGAGGAAACACCTCAGCTATGGTGCTGCAATACAAAAGTAAAGAATAAAGGTGAAACAGAGGCACACCGGCTGAGTCTCCAGTAACGGATCGACATTGTTTCGAAGAGCTAACAGCCGCCTATTGTGCCTCAAGAAGTCACATAATGCCTATTACTTGGGATCGTGGTTGGAGCAGGAGTCTAAGCGGAGAGGGATGGACGAAGGAATTCACAACACTAATGCCATTGAGGTCTGCTCCTAGACATGTCAATAGGTGTATCCAACCAAATGTGTTCATCGTCCTTCAGTCCACAACCAGGGAGCCGAAAGGCTTCAACAGAGATCAGCTTCGAAGTAAAGGCCTTCATTCCTATTGACCAACTCATCGCTTGGCCACCTCTCCTCTTCTTCCATCCGCACCTCGAGCGCGCAAACAACGTACGTCATGAAAGTCGGTGGGCTGACATGCGGAACACGTGACCCAGCTATCGGAGCCTGGTACGTGAAATAACGGTGCTGGGCGGTTCGCTTCTTGTTCCTGCGCCATAAACAGGGCGTCGAACACGCTCATTGCTCACACGGTGTTCGCATCAGATGTGAGCCAAACTGCGAAGGCATAGGTGGTCGAAAGTAATTAGCCTCTTTATGTCAGTTTATCTAAGGAGCGAGGTTTCACAACCGTACATTAAGGTCGAAAGTACGGCTGCGTTGTATACTCTACCCTTCAGGGAGAGAGTGATGTCGCGTCAGCGCCATAAATGGCGAAGGCTGGCAGAAGCGTCTCTAACTTTCGCTATACGGTTTGTGACCTCGTCTTTAATTCCAACGGCGTTGATACAACTACCTAGGTAGTTGAACTTTTGAACGACTTCTAGCTGGTCCCCACCAAATATCTGCGCAGGAGGCGGTTCCTGCCAATCCCGAAGGAAACCTTTGCAATCGGAGGGTGCAAAGGATAGTCCGAAACAGGTGACAGCCGGTGCTAATCTGTCTAGTGCCGTTTGGCACCTTTGAGAGGTGTCACAGCTGAGGGCAATATCGTCAACATACTCCAGGAAGTCGTTCTCTTGGAATCAGCTCCACATCTAAGTCGTGTCCAGTGAATGTAATTTCCATGACTTAGTCAATAGCGAAGTTGAAGTGGAAAGGTGACAGCGGGCATCCTTATCTAACACCGATGGCGATATTAATCGACGTCGACAGTTTGCCCTAAGCCCTCACTTCACCCGAGCTACGCGCATAAAGCCCTTGTATAATGTTTGCATACTTCTCGGCACATCTTTCTGAGTAGACAGTCCTAAAGGGCACGTCGATCCACTGAATCGAAGGCACCTTTGATGCCGGGGAACACGACAACGGTGGGCCGCCAATACTTGTGACTGTACTCCAACAACTGACGTAATGTGAATACGTGGTCGGTGCATCTCCGACCACGAAGAAACCCGGTTTGATCTTCACGAATCTGGCTTTCACGAGCGCCAGTCAGTCGGTGAAGGATGTGATAGGCAAGCAATTTGGATGTGATGGCGATCAGGTTGATTCCTCTATGATTGCCGCATTCCGAATGAGAGCCTCCCTTGAAACTCGGATTAATAACTTAGCGGCTTCAGTTTCCTTTTCCCACCATTTCGCTAGTAATTCGTGTAAATCATCAACAGCAGAAGGTCCCCCGAATTTGAAGACGGTTGGAGGTAGATCGTCTGGTCCCGCGGCTTTGTTCAACTTCAACAGTCCAGTCTCACGTTTGACTTCTGAGCGAGAGGGTGGATACAAAGGGTCAGCCCACGGAGCAGGGGGATCACTGTCCGATGAGGGATCTAACAATTCCGGTCGATCAAATTTCTTTTTGAAATGCTCAGCCCATCGCTCCAAACGTTCTGACAAGTTGTAAATAGGCTGTCCGCTCTCGTCACGTATAGTTTCACTAACACCAGTTCTCCTGTTGCCGGTTTCCCATATTAGTCGAAACAACTTCCGATGGTTACCAAGGGCAGTGACCATTTCTATCTCTGACGCACGATGAGATCACGCTTCACGTTCTGTCTTCAGGTTAGCAGGTAGTTTTTCCCTGATGTCTTTGCGAATGTGTTTGTGTTCGCTTCCAGCCAGAATATGCCGGCGAGCATCGGTAAGTTCCAGAGACTGCGAAGAGACCGAATGTCTCTTTTGCCTAGTGAATTTTCTACATGATGATTTACCTGTTTCAAGTAACGTTTGGTGAACATGCGACCAGTGACCTTCGACTGTTTTCAGTGGGCGCTTACCCAACCTGAATACCTGCATACTTCGATACGCATTCAGGACGCCTGGCTTCGGCAGTTGGCTGGTGTGTATGCGCTCACAGCGTCGTCTGGGGCGTCCGCCAAAACGCGCATACAGATTAGCACATACAAGTGAATGGTCAGTTTCCACACCTGTGCTCCAAATCGAGCGAGAGTTTTGGACGCACCCTCTTAAGGTATAACTGATGGCGATGTGATCGATTTGCGTCTTGTCACTTTCCAACAGGTGCTGTGTCGAAAGTTAGTGCTCGTAAGAAACAAGCGAGCTTCTTCACATAAATGAGGTAACTACTCACCGTTATTACAGGAGCCTACACCATATTAGCCGCCAAGATGCACCTTACCAGTTGACAATTTTGCAACTTGAGCTTCCGGATCCGCAGGAAGCAAAACAGTGGTTGTGCTTCTTCTGTGGCCAAGGAGCTCCTTCAGTTGACGATGGAAGTCGTCTTTCACGGAATCCTCGCTACGGTTAGTGGGGGTGTAGGCAGTGATGATATACAGAGACCTATTAGTCCTGCTCGACTTCGAAGCTTTGAACGAACCACCTAGTCGGACCGCACACATCCGGCAACTGATTGAGATCCAATCAGTCAGAGCAGCTTCAGCCATGGGCCTCAGGGCAGTACCAACACCAGTTTGGCAGGTACTCGAAGCCGAAGAGGCGCAGTTCGAAATCACTGCTAGTGTCACATGAAGCGGATCGTAGAGCGAGCACAGAGCTCGAGTCGTGCAGGCAGGTTTCCGATAGACAGCAGATATTGATGGAGAGGGTCTCTAATGTTCGGGCAAACGCTGCCTGTTGATCGATCTGTATTAATGTGCGTGCGTTGAGGCATACTAATCTGAGCGAGGATCGGGACCTCCAAATAGAAACCGATGGACTGGATTTGACCGCTTGGTTAGACATGGACATTACGATAGGGCGGGAGTGACGCTCCGCGTTTCTACTTGAGTTGAAACTAGAAGATAAACGCCTATCAAAGCGTAGTGGGGGAGAGCCAAAAATTGGGGGATTGGAAACGGGGAAAAAAGTGAAGTAGGAACTGGACGATAAAGATGAAAAAGTGTAAGGGTGGGAGTAAGATGTCGGAAAAGCTTGAGTAGCAGCATCCAACCCTCATCCTGCTCAGTGTAACATAATGGGCACCGTTGATTATCCTCTGCGGTGGCCAGAGCATCAGGAAATTGTTTGAGTAAAGATGTATAGCATTTTTCTTGGGAGGTTCGAAGTCAAGGTTTGTGGTGACTTTCTGTGTTCTGCTTTCTAAAATCAAGAATCATTTTAATTTTTGACATGACTAAACCTACTCAACATTTTACCACATCGGTTCATTACAACCGTTCATGGCAATCATAAATGACTGGCATGGCTATCATCACCATCCTTCTGGATAGGCAAGATGTGTTTGCTTGCTTTCCGCACATCCCACTTAGCCGTACTTGAGTCTCTCAGTTCTATTCGTCCTTGAAAGACCGAATATGAAGCGTACATGTATGTCTCTACGTCTGCTCCCAGATACGTCACTATTGCTGTCGTTCGAGGGAGTGTATTTTTTCCATTATCTTACATAAACGATGCATTTCAATACGCATTATTGTTTACTGAGGACGTCAATAGGTTTCTTCATTTTCACCTGGCTATCTGGAGCTAACATAAAAAGATATACGGAAATATCTCAGCCCTGAACAAATGGATTGAAAGCAAATCTATGAGGATCTCAGCAGACGCGTCACGGATGCCATGCTGCAGTTACTTTATACCCTAGCGATCTCCCGTATTAACCGGATACATCGTCCGGGACCTGGGAATTGTATACTCTAGCCGCTGTGTATCAGTTCTACTTGCGCACACAGCCCGGCTTGTGACTGTTTTGAATGAACATTAGTCGATCGGCTGTCAACATTGATTACGCCTGTAAATAGTTGAGCGGTTATTCAGAATACACTGTTCCACGAGCGTCGTGCTTTCATTTTGATTACAGTACGTGGGTGTTCGGGCTACAGCTGCTGAGACCGGATTGCGGATGGGCCTAGCGCGCTTACAATAATACAACCTTGCCGTCGCGGTTGAGAACTGCTACAATGACATTTCATCTTCCACCTCTGGAAACTCATTGGTGCGATTTTGGTGTCACAACTAACAACAGCGATTAGGCTCAATGGAAAGCTTTGTAAGAATTACTGCCGTCAACTATTCCTTACACTGAGAATCAAAATTTGAACCTACGTTCTCCGTTAGGCAATGAAAGCCAAAATTCTTTTGATGCAGTGGAACTACAAAAACGGAGATCCTTACGGTGGCGTTGAATTGATCGTACATTGTTATCAATTCTGCCAGTTGGAGCTACTAGATTCCGATCCATTTTGTTGTGTGGATTCACCAACAACCGAATTCAGGAATGTCTACTTTCCGAAGACGCTTCCAAATTGACTTGGGATAAGGCTGTGGAATTAGCTCGCCTCAAAACATGTACGGCCGAACAGTCGCGATGTTTCGCCACCCACACAGACATACATGAGGTTGCCAAGATCCATCTCTCGCCAACCGAATTCTAATCCCCATAGAAATGCTTCCGTTGCGGCAGCCTGCAGCATAAAGCCAATTTTACCAAGTGCCCTGCCTTAGAAATGGATTACAAAA